GGAACCGAGGAGAGAGGACTTACTTTGATTAATTGAGAGTGCGGTATAATGAGACGATAACAGGCTACAGATGCGGGCACACACACACACACATATATATATATATATGTATACATTTATGTATATATTTATATAAACATATACAATTTCAGAATCAAACAGAGTACTCTCATAACGTAACACAATACGTAACGCCTTCACTTATTTCCTCTCTTTTTGCTCATTTCCTTTCCCTTTCTCTCCTCACCTCCTTTCCTCTCCTTTGCTCTCATTTCCTTTCCTTCACTTTTTATTTGCACGTTGTTGGCATACAGTTTGTTTAGTGTTTTGCTGTTGTTCCACATGTATTGTTTTGCTGTTGTTCCACATGTATTGTTTTGCTGTTGTTCCACATGTATTGCTGACATGTGTGTGTAGTGTTTCTTTTTGTGTTGTTCTGTTTTAACCCCTTGTGCGGAATGCTTTGGCAATTTCAAATGTCATAAGCCAATAAAGCCCCTCTGTGTTGTATATAAATAATGTTGTGATGTTTGTCCTTCAGCAATGAGCCGGCGGCGTGTCTCCGTGAGAGACCTGGGTCTGACGGACTGTCAGGGCTGGCTGCTCCGCAGGAAGGAGGCGCGCAGCTTCCTGGGAGCCAGGTGGAAGAGATACTGGTTCGTCCTGAAGAAGAGCTCGCTCTACTGGTACTCCAACAAGATGGTGAGAAACAGAAACCTGAAAAGCTTCTTTCTGTCATATTTTCTTCAGTTTAGACGCAAATATTGTCCTTTTTATCCTAGTTTGAGTCTCTTTGTAGTTCCTGTGCAGCACCTTTGGTCTTTGGAGCTTCTTTGTGGTCATTTTGAGTTGCTTCCTACTTGACCTGAGTGTCTTTGAGTCTCTGAGGTGTTCCTCCTTTCCTCCCCTCAAACATGTCTCAAATTTGGATCAATAAAGTACTTCTTATCTTATCTTCTTATCTCTTGAGGCGGAGAAAGCCGAAGGGTTCATCTGCCTGCCCGGCTTCACCATCCAAAAGGCCCAACAGTGCAAGAAGAAACAGTACGCCATGTTTGTTTCTCTGTGTGAAACTCACCTGTCGACTAACGAAGTATTATATTTAGAAGTATCTGTAATATTAACCGCACAGTGTTGTGTTTCAGTTCCATAACAGCCAGCCATCCTCTGGTTGTGACCATCTTCATCGCTGCAGAGAGCTTCACAGACATGAACAAGTGAGTATTCAAGAATCTAGATTCTAGATTCAAGGCTTTATTGTCCACATTACGTACAGTTTAGATCTGTCAATGAACAACTGAAGTCCAGGCTCCTCCAACAGAGCAACATGAATATATACGGTATAGGACATAGAACAAATACAACTGATAAAATAGTGCAAGATGTGGGGGAAGCTTCTGAAGCAATTGGAAACAGGACTCAGAGAGACACGAGGAGAGCCGGAGCTTTGATGGCAAACACTGACGGTTTATTTGGAGTTACGGCCGGAGAATTGACAAAACAGGTGGTGTGTAACGAGTTGACACGGTGGTTGCCAAACCAATTCTGAAGAACTCTTTCTGCAGCTCGAGTTTTTAACTAGTTCGGAGTGTAATAATCAACATTCTTTATCAGAATGACTAAAGCAATAAGGACCCTGAATCTAACGAGAGCTCTCGTCCATAGGAAAGAATGTGCGCCAGGGAACCTTCGTCCCTGAACAGTAAACTACCTCATGGCGGGTTGTGCTCTGTCATAGACTGGCAACAGCAATGCGCCCAAGCTCCTCCCCCTTAAGAGAGATAGCAGCAATACCCAAGGCCGTAGACCTATGCCGTGGGAAAGGAGACAGTGAGAGGAGAACATGATGAACTGTGTCGAAGGTTGAACACCTAAGCTAATTATTCCCTAACACACTATATTTGAATAGATGATCACATCAACCCATATATCTGGAGATCATATTTGTGAAGGGTTCCAAAGTGAAGCAACACTTGCTTTGGTTAAGTTTAAGTATTTTAAGTTAAAGAGAAAGAAACAGGTTACAAAAATGGCACTATGGTGTCAAATCGATACATGGTGCCTTTTAGGTTTTTGTAAAACACNTTATTGGAAAACACTCTTCTCCTCACCTTGGCCATTTCTCTGACTCCCCTCCTCAACTTCCCTCCTCAACTCCCCTCCTCGACTCCTATCCTCGAGACTTAGTCCCGCCGACAGGAGATGCGAGTGGAGGAGCCGAGGAGGAGAGAGGAGGGGAAGCAGCAGGCGGTTAGAGAAATGAGAACTCCTCTCCTCTCAGCGGTCATTTTAAAGAGAAAGTCTCGAGGATAGGAGTCGAGGAGGGGAGTTGAGGAGGGAAGTTGAGGAGGGGAGTCAGAGAAATGGCCAAGGTGAGGAGAAGAGTGTTTTCCAATAACAGAGTGTCTATTCTGTTGTGTGTGCGTGTGTGTTCTTGCGTGTGTGTGTGTGTGTGTGTGTGTGTGCGTGTGTGCGTTTGGTCACTCACTGCTCCTGAGGTTGTGGCAGGTAAAAACGTATTCAGCTATATATAATATCCTGCTTTATATTTTGTTACTGTACTTTTTTTCAGTTTTGTGTAGCTTATTTATGTAATATTAAATTACATACATAATATTCACAACATCTTCTTCTTACTTGCTTGTCTATCGGTGTCTAACTATGTTTGTGGCTTTGTTTATCCATGTATATTTAAACATATGTGTGCAAAAATAATGCAAAAAATCCTAATTTCTTTGCAGTAAACAACGTTGAGCTTGATGATCATTCCTACATTGTAGTGATATTTAATTGTGGTTTCAGACTAAATACCAAAAAAAAACCTAAAAAGACCGTCTTACCTGCAGCAGTGTGTCGTCTCTGCAGCTCAGCAGAGGAGGAAGCTGCCTGTGAGAATGTCTACATTGAACACACACACACACACACACACACACACACACACACACACACACACACACACACACACACACACACACACACACACACACACACACACACACACACACACATTTCCTGTTTCACACATTCAACATGACCATGAGTGATTAGTCACACTTCCTGTTTGTGGTCTCTAGAAAACAAACCATTGTCAGACGTTTGGTTTGAGCTTGTTTCTGCAGCATGGTCTTTTAATCACGTGAGAATTAAGATTACTCAACGCAAAGAAATAAGAAAAGTGTTCTTGAATGTATAAATGAGGGGGCACATTTGAGGGTTTTCTGACATACTGCAATCTAAAAGACCAGTTTCTCATAATTTCAAGTTTGACCTTAGTTTGAGAGGGGAATAATTCATATAAGAAGAGTTCAATCAGTTTGTCTGACCAATGGAGATACAGTAATGCATTCATGAAATAAGTTCAATGAATGTCCTCTAGGTGGTGCCATCACTCCTATCTTTTGAAAAGGCTTCAGACTTGAATTAATGTAATTTAAAAAAGGTACGATAAGCTACTTTAAAAACATAATTTCTAGCTTTTTACCAAAAAACAATTGACATACTGTGGGTGAACATTACAGCCAAACTAATACAGCTTCTGCTCCTTAGTTATATACTGATAAGACCTTGTACACCTTCACTTATAAAGATTTCTTTCCTCATCTGAATTGAGGATGCAGCTGTCTCGGTTTTTGCAGGTTGGGGTTTTCAGAATCAAATAAAGTTGACTTCTTTTGGATTTACGTAAAGCCAGACTTGTTTACATGTGACAACAGAGCTTCACATCCAAACAAAACACAAGCACAACAATTCAAATGAATTATTCAGGACAAAAGACTTGTTGGTGATGAAACAAGGGTAACCACTTCTCATAGCTCCAAAAAGAAAAGGTAACACAAACACTGAGCTTTTTGGCTAAATATGTTCAAGGAAATAAAATGTGTGACACTTCTTTGTTGTTATAAATAGCTTACAGGTTAATAATACCCACCAAATTATTTACTCAATTTCACTTTAAACATTACTGCACTTGGAGAGCTTTCATCTTCAAAATAAAATTCACTTTATTTTGTATATTTTAGTTACAAAGCACAAGAGGCATCATTTCATACTGCAACTCTGGGAAAAATTCAGATGTACACATGTAGTTTGAAAACCAAAAGAGACTCTTACAAAATATTTTACAAGAAAATCAGATTCTTGATTTGCTGTTATGTTCAGAAACAAAAGTCTAAACCCTGCAGATCCAGCAAAGAACATGCCTCCGTGATATTTACAGTTTCATTACACTCTTATGTACAAGCTTTTACATCTCTTGCATAATGTTTTGTTAGTAAAAAACACCAAAGAAACACTCTTTACAAAATGAAATGATCCTGTAGGAGACTTAAGGAGCTCCTTAGATTGTAAACATCAGAGGATCCAAAACGCCGCCCTGAGGGACTCCGTCTAAAGGATTTTCATAAATATACACAAGAGTTCTTCAGAAAACGTCAAGATGAACCACTAGAGTTGTTTAAAGGCAGGAAACCAAACTTAAAATACTTTATATCAGCTAAATGTACTTGAAGAATGTTAGGTGGTTTTCGTCAAAGTCAATCAAAGAATATGCAAATGAAATGACGAATTAACTTAAATATTTTAAATTATTTAAATGTATTGCTTAAAGGGGACCTATCATGCAAAATGCACTTTTTGATGTCTTTTATACATAAAGATGTGTCCACGGTGTGTCAGGGAACTCACCAAGTGTCAGAAAATAAAACCCTCTCTCTTTTCCTCCGTACCCAAATCTCTAAAAACGGGGGAACAACGGAGCTGATCCAGATTTGTGTCCGATATGACGTAATATCTGAAATGTGGACCCACGGCCCTATCAGAAACGTTGCTATCAGAAACAATGCCCGACTGTTTTGGACGTAATATGGTCGGTGTTTACATTAGCATCGCTAACACTTAGAGCTAACCTGTACTGGAGAGCATGTGTGTGAAGAAGCAGGAAGTAAAAAGGAACTCACCTTGTGGTATAACCGGCAAGAGAGAAAGCCTTTGAGCTCCATACTGTTTCAGAGAGAATCCTTGATAATCCATGATATGGCGTTTCATCACGGCAGTATTTAGTTTAGACAGTAGCTGCCGGGTCCCGCATGAGCTCAGACCCCTCCTTTTTTTTTTAAAGCTTTATACCCAAATCAGCACTTTAGAAACAGGAAGTGAAATAGAGGGATATGAGGCATGGCTAGAATGGGTGATCTGTTGGGTATTTTGAGCAAAACACTTCATAGACATGTTTTTTATATATTTGTATATATCTATACCTATGCTATTGCCTAAAAATAGCATGATAGGCGACCTTTAAATATAGGTTTGAGAAAACGGTAAAATCTCTTAAAGTCAACACAGTGTTTTGGGGATTTAACATTTAAATTTCACTCCTTATATCAGCAAAATATACTTTCAAAATGCAGCCCATTGTTTCTTTAGCTGTTGTGAGAGTTCATAAGCTACCCCGATTGATTCTATTAAAAGGATTTCATTTTTTCTCATATTACAAAGTCATCATTACGTTTTTTTATTTACAAAACGTTTAGACTGCTTTCTTAAAATGTATAAAACTCATAAAAAACAGCAATCGGCAATTTTTGTTTTCATTAAAATGTCATTAATGTTGTTACCTAGCATGCTCCACCTGTATGGTTTAAACAATCAGTTAAATATGTCTCCTAAAAAACAGTTTAATATTACTGTTGCAACTTTTAAGGCGTTTGTGAAGCTTCAGGAACATTTGGAATTAACAGTGTTGAGCGCTTTCTTTTGCCTTCTCATAAACTGAAAGGCACACATTTGATAAAATAAAAACACTCTATAAAACATATTTACAGTCAAAGATAAGAGGCACCAGCGGCTCCTGAGACCGAGAGGGTAAGATTAGACACAGCAGCAGCAGCAGCAGCAGCAGCAGCAGCAGCAGCAGCAGCTCTAACATGCTTCACCATTCTTAAACTGAAAACACTGAAGGTGGATTATTTGCTCTGAATGTGAACTTGTCTTTGAACCCCAAGGCCTTAAATGTTAAGCAATACAAATAAACCAAAATCTGTTGAGAACAAAAACCAGCTTCATTCGCACAGATTAAGGCTGCCATTGAAAAACATTTGAAGGTTTTTGGAACGGTTAAAGACTCAACAACTTTCTGTTCCTATTGTTTTGTTTTGAGTTTGACTTTCTGTACGGAAGCTCAGCAGGTCCAAACTTAGTGAGTGAAAGCTTGTTTTCAGCAGACGTTGAAAAGTGCAGTAACAGTTTTTATCAACATCAGAAACTGGTGTAGATATTCTCAGTGAAATGCTTAGTTATCAGTTGTATGGAAACAAAAATGTTATTTCTTTATGTATGTATGTGGAGGCGTGTGGCGCAGTGGACTAGTGCGTTGGTGTTTCGGGTTCAGGTTCAAACCCCACTGCAGTCAGCATGTCGTTGTGTCCCTGAGACACTTCACCCCAAATTGCTCCTGTGGGGATTGCCCACAGTATTGAGTATGGAAGTCGCTTTGGATAAAATCTTCTAACAAGTAACATGTAATGTAATGATGTAATGTACAAGAAGGTTTCAGCAGCTAGTTAGTGTCTCTAAAGAGGTTTGTTTCAGATGTGGTGGTTGCTTCATTCCTCTTTGCATATGTAGGATTTTCCAGCTTGGATAAACTTTGATATGTCTTTCTAAACTCAACTCCATGTTTTCATTCAGTCTGTGGATCCTCACTGAGTCTTATGTTTGTTCAAAGGTTTAATCTTCCATTAAAAAACACTTTTGTTGTAGAAGTCATCAACGTCGGAAGTGTTCATCCTGAGGAAGTGCAACATGTCATTTAAACCCATCAGTGTACACTTTTATTGAATATAATAACCTTGGCTGAGGGGAAGGAAAGGGGTGTGACGTAGAGGCTCCATGAGGCGTGAAATAATAAATCCGTGCTCCATTTGAAGAATTGTTCTGTTCGGTCATAATGAAATAAAAAAAGGAATCAAACGTAGAGAAGATGGTGGAGGATGGAGGGATGCTCCATGATGTCTTTTTGGGGGTGACTTTTTGGTTTATTCCAGAAGTTGGTTTTCCATGATCTGATGATATTTGAGTCAAACTTCGGTCACACCTCAGGTCAAGAATATAACTTGGTGCTCGAGGCATGAAATATAAAAAATGTGAGATTGTAGATTTGATGTTCATGGAAAAAAAAGTTTGAACTTTAGGGGGATTCTCCTTTTTGACTTTTTGGTTTAATCCAGAAGTTGGTTTTCAATGATATGTAGTCAAACTATTAGCTGAAGGTCTTGACCTGGCAGACATTTAAAAACAATGTTCCTGCAAGTATCCTGAATGGTGGTTCTTATCAAGTGAATAAAAGTAAAGACTTATCAGTGGTCACTCCTCCGGTCAAGGAAGTGACTTGGTGCTCGAAAAAACGTTGGGGGTTCACCTTTTTTGGTTTATTCCAGAAGTGGGTTTTCCATCATCCATGGTCCATGGTCACACCTCAGGTCAAGGGAGTGACTTGGAGCTCAAAAAAGAAGTTGGTTTTCAATGATATGTAGTCAAACTATTTGCTGAAGGTCTTGGACACGGCAGACATTTAAAAACAATGTTCCTGCGAGTATCCTGAAGATCAGAGAGGTGGTTCTTCTCTGATTAATAAAAGTAAAGACTCATCAGTGGCTGGGTCAAACCTTGGTCTCACCTCCGGTCGAGGATTTGACTTGATGCTCGAGGCATGAAATGTTACAAATGTCAGAATGCTAATTTGATGTTCATGGAAAAAGGATTCTCCATTTTGGGTTATTCCAGAAGTTGGTATTCCATGATCTGCTGTTTGTTGAGTCAAACTTCGGTCACTCCTCCGGTCAAAGACTTTAGGTGGATTCACCTTTTCTGGTTTATTCCAGAAGTTGGTTTTCAATGATATGTAGTCAAACTATTAGCTCTGAAGGTCTTGCCCTGGCAGATATTTAAAAACAATGTTCCTGCGAGTATCCATGGTTTCTTCTCTAGTGAAGGAAAGTAAAGACTCCTCAGTGGCTGAGCAGCCGGAGGCGAGCGAGCCAGCCTCCCAGCAGCGAGGTGGGCTTGGTGTTGGACATCGGAGGAGGGGAAGCAGCAGCAGCAGATGATGATGGGGGGGCGGAGGGCTTCTTGGACACCCCCTCCTGGTAGGGGATGGTGGAGGAGTTGTGCAGGTTGGCGTTGATGAAGCACTGGCTGCCTCGGATGTGGTCGACGCCGCGGACAGACGGGTGTCCTCGGTACGGCAGCGGGAAACACGGCTCCTCCTCTGGGATGGAGCTGATCCCCTCGTTACTCAGGTACCGGTGCAGCACCTCCTTGTGACCTGTGG